GTTTCGAACAAAACTTATTCTTCATAATCATGTCATCAATTATAAACACACGACTTCAAACCTTGAGTTTTATAGTCTTCTTTGTTCTCCCCGATTTATCGTCGTACGGGTAGTAGAATTTTCCGTATGTCCGGCTGGACAGAAGTTGAATCATTCCTATTATACGTGTTTGCAGTTGATTCGATAAACAAAGCTTCCGTTATCAATCTTCTCCACTCACCATCCTGTTACAGTAGATTTTAAAAGTGTCATCTTATCCCATCCATCCTATTGTATGGTTGTGTGCAATTGCGTGTAAGGTAAGATGACAGTTTTAAAATCTAATGCAAGAGCAGGGTGGAGAGAGAGGTTGATAACAGAAGCTTTGTTTATCGAATCAACTGCAGACACGTATGTAATAGAAGTGAATCAACACCTGTCCACCCAAATATCTAAAAAATCTCTACTGCCCCAAAGACGACAAATAGGAGAGAACGAAGTAAACTATAAAACTCAAGTTTTGAAGTCGTGTGATTCGAATTGATGACATCATTATGACCAATAATGAATTGTGTTCAAAACTGTGTCATGCAGTACATAATACTGTTTCAATGACTGTGGGATACATCTGATAAACAAACTAATATGAAATTACTTACTACCACAGTGCCCAAGTTTGGAACATATATGAAATAAAACTTTGTTCTTGAAGTTGTACACAACTGGATTAGACTTCTTCAGTACAGTACAGTTTTGTGTGACTGAGTTCAGAAAATTATTAAAGGGTAAATTCGCAATGGCAAAGTTTGATAAGACCATGTGGGATTGATAGTGTAGACTCTGTAACCGCTGTCAGCACTATCGGTTTTCTTTCAAAATTTGATGTACCAAAACACACACTCATATTTCAGTCAAATAACAGGAAATCAAACTTCTCAGCGTAAGAGTTTCAAGGAAGCTGACGAACTCAATTAAATATATGAACTGTGTTTATTTAAGTAATTAGTGAGTGAAAGTATCCAGGAGCAAAGTGAGAATGTGAGCACTGGAGATTAACCCATTATTATATAGTGTTGATTTGGTCTGAGAAATTGACGCTAATGCAGTAGTAGTTTAGCAAGAGAAAACAATTAGCTGATTAGTGTATCCAAATTCATTGAAGACAGTGACAGAAATGATTTACTGTGGCATCCGCATCTCGCCTATTTAGGTCTACACATACAATTGAAAGTAGAGTGGTAGATAGACAAATTTGGAAAGAGATAATTCTAAAAACTCAGAATACTGGTTTCCTAAATACGGAAATATCTAGACGTTGCTATGCTTCCAATAACATCACCATGATTACGGCTTCATATTCTGAAGCAGTATTATCGACTACCACATTGGATGACGATTCTAAATATGAACTTTTTTAAAATGACACTTAGAAAGAATAAATCCATTGATGAGTTCAGACTTGCTTGTACGAATGGGGTATCAGTTTTCCTGAACATTGGGAAACGCACAAACTCCGTGAGTAAGCGAAAATCATGGAAGAGGGATATTTGGATATTATGATTACACCTTAGTCAAGTAGCAGACAAAATGAGGAGTAAATAACACAGTGCGCACATTCTCTGTGTCTACAACTTTTGATTACTTCAGACAACTTTCATCCATTTTTTTGATTCAAATGACATTCATCTTTATAGCTGATTTGCCTTAGCACGCCTGAAGTTACTGAGCACTTTGATTGGTGGAGAAGCTGAATCTGAATGTTCTGCTACTTCATAGCTTTGTGTGAGCTGATTTTTCCGAAGTGAAATAAACTCACTAAGTCTTACATACTTGAAGATATTTAGCGTTCGAAACACAGGCTGTGATAAAACAACAATACTCACATATATTGGTAAGTAATGTGATAAGTAAACGCTGAGTGTTATAGTTTAATTCTCTTTAACTGAGAGCAAAAACGCTTTATTCTCTCAGGCTACTTTCCCCGGCAGAGAAAATGCTGACTTTGTTATAATAACCTATCAAATCCTTGTAGTGTAGAAACTAGAGTGTAGTCTACTGTTTTCTTTAATTGTTGCAAAAAGGGGTTTGACACAGAGTACACTATCATCCACAATAAAATAATTTAATCAGATGAAACGAATATTGATAGAGTGTTGTTTAGAGCTCATTTTATTGATCATAATCATATCAAGGTGCCCACACTACTTACAAATTCTGCTTATATTATCCCAATATTTCTCCTTCTTTGATTTTATAGGCAATAGTATTTCCCATATCACTGGTACTGCTACTGCATTATTCTCTAACTGTGGTCAGACATAGCATCAACTGAATCCATAAAAGCCAACACTCGATGATAAATTGCATTTGGAACTTAGTCATGTGGTAGATTATAATGCTTCAATGCATCTTATATCCAACGACCTAATTAACATGGGATTTTGGACTTTTACCCACTAAATTCTACAACTTCCTATGATTTAATTGATCCATTATTTTCGATATTCTTACAGGATTCTTCTCCGTGAATTATAATATTATTATGCACCATATTTGTTTTGTAAAAACTACTCTAATCGGAATTGCAGTTAACTTGACTATTATTTATAACAAGATTGTTGTTTGCTGTTCATATAGTGATCAATATACAAATATATACATATATATATACTCCATTCGTGAGGACACGAGGGGAATTTTAAACCATTTACAAGAATTCCATATTGGATAAATTTATTTCACAAATCACCAGTTACTGAATAACGTCTCGAGTATAAATTACCACCAACGATCATATGAGCAAGATGTCAGCCATTTCTTTCGTTCGATAACCTGTTTAGGAATTTCTAATTCCTGACTTGAGAGATAGAGAGTCAATTCATGCGGAAATTATTTTACTAGTGAGTTAAATGTGTTATCAGTGGCAAAAAATTCCGGAATTCCGGAAGGTATCCAGAAAACTGTTACCCTCCAAATGAGTTTTATTCGCTAGCAAATAATACTGATCGTCGAGTCCAACAAAACAGCCTATCTCAGTTGTTTTTTCTAATCGTTAACTTACCAAGAATGTCATCCACTGTCACTTATCGATAACATCCATTTTGATTTGACACTAGTAACTAGTGTGATGTGTCTAGTTCCCGCTTTGGTGCAGACTGAATTCTATCAGTCAGGTTTACAATGTGGCCACCATCGTAGGTAGCTCGCCATCACGGTGCACATTGATTTGATAATATAAGATAGTTGAAGGTAACCCGCAGGGAGCCTTGGCTACACCTAGTTTTCGTGCTACTTGGTGCGCACCAGTTAACAAGGCGTTTCTGCAACATCGAAGGAACTCATGTCCCTTCTGAGGTTCGAACGAAACCTAAGTCAAAGGCTTCCTGCGGATTGCTTCCAACCATCTAATATCATCAGATAACTTCCATTTTATCAAGATCTATTCACATGACGGTTGAAACATCAAAAATTCTTTTGCTGGAGGAAGTTTTTAAACTAGTGCTTGCCTCTCAATGGTTTTCTATATCACGTGAATTCGGTGAGGATCAAAACTGAATTTTCCAAAGGTAACCCGCCGTTTTATGAATTTTTAAAATATTCTTCAAACCATTTAATAAAAATCACTGCTATGACCTTTATTTTTAATGATAAAAGTTTCTCAAAAAGACTTGCAAAACAACAATAAAACTTGAATGCTGTGGTATAATTTTTATATAGCTCGCAGGGATACATTAGTATTTTCTTAAAGGCAACAGACGAAGTGTAGTAGTAACCAAGAAGTAATATAGTCAAGTCCAAGATCTTTCAACGCCAGAGAGAATTTCGGCACTTATTTGTATACGCTTGATGGTGGTTCTGGAATAGGAAGATAAAGCGACTAGGCAAGCCACTTCTTCCAATGCTTATCATTACAACTGATCTTGTAGAGCGATTTGCATTGACCCTCACTCTAGAAACTTTATTTGTCACGCTGAAGAACACTCATCGGTCTGGCTAAATAAGGATGTAATTAAGACGATGACCAATTGAATATTAGAAAACCTGGTGCAAACAAACAATAAAGTCGACCGTGAAGAAACGCTGAGTAAACCGCTTGAAGCTACAAGTCATTGAGTGCTGCGCATAACAGATTTATGTACAAAATTTGAGTGCAAAAGAAACAAGTCTAGTCATTATCTCCGCCTTGACTTATTGTGGAATCTCTAAATGCATTAACACTACAATGCATCATACCTGTTGTGTAAAATCTTCTGTCCACCTTAATCAATACTGCATAAAAAAAAAAATTTTTACAGTTAGTATGATCATGAGCAGTAATTTTGCTCGAAACACTACCAAAATAAAAAGAAACTTACTATGGTGTGTAAACTACTGAAATACAATTTGGATTTTAAGCTTTATTCTGTATTAATAACTCTACTTAAATCAACAAGACGTAAATTAGAATTTTCATTTCACAATGTTATTAGTAACATATAATTGTTCGTGAACCGTTGTGTGTTTTCTTCACTGACTCATGTTCCTAGTTTCTTAAAAATCAGTTTTTGAGCACTTCAACATATATAACCTATATTTTACTCCGTAACATATTTTGACATATAACAAATAGTGTGTAGCAGAAAACCTGTATAAGACAAAGTATGAATTAGAAGTGTTCAAGGGAATAGCCTACGCTCTGATAATTTCTGATAACTTTACAAACTTTCAGTGAGTAATAATCACTTTTAACGGACAGTAGAACAAAAAAAAAGAAAAGAAAATACTTCAGCATGTATACTTTTTTTTATTTCATGTTCATTTTTACTTGACCTCATTTATATATTGACATTTTTATTGAGTATACTTCGTTGGTAGACGTCAAAACAAGAATTATTCCTGCCAGTTTTTTTTTGTTTCAAAGAACATAAGTGATTTATGTTAGTGTTTTTTCTATTAAATTTATATTACATGTTATTGGTTTACAGGCATTTTTTTAAGAGTATAAATTCAATAATATAAAATTAGGAAGGATATTAATGCATAAAACAAACAGTTAATTAAAAACAAAAATAAATGAATTTATGCATCCTTCTACTAACTGTTTCAATTCTCTTTTTCGCCAATGTAAACTGTAGAAGACATTCGGGTAAGACGATTAAATTATTATTCTTAGTTAATGATGTAAATTTATGCACTGGCCAAAACTTTCACCACCCAAAGATACACTGATAAATGTAACTGTACTTTGTACTCTATCTACAAGTTCATCAGCAGTTTTAGGGTACATATATAGGTCGAATAAATGGAATGTTTCAACATCATAGGAAAAAACATGCTCCTAAATGGTCATTGGATCATATCAAAAATTGAATTGTACTTCATACGAATAAAAGTCCAGTAGCATCCACTACAAAGCATTTATACGTGTTTGATCAAAAATCAATATTATTGAATAATTCTCAATTATTTCACACATAACTTTAAGTCAAGGTTATTAAAACGTTAATTATACACACTTTTATCTGCTATAGCTGATTAATTATCAGACATTTTCTTGTGAGCCAAGCTAGCTAGCTGAGAAACATTTCTGAATGAACAATGAAATGGTATAATTATTTAAACAAAGATATATTTCCTAGTCGTCTAAAACTCGCATAAATGTTCCCTTTAGTTCCTAGAGGAACATGGGGCTTCAGCCGCACGTCTGCATTGCGTTCGGTTCTCTGCCAACGCTTTCACCTGGCTTCAAGTCTGCCAACATGCTTTCATCTCCTCTTCACATCACCTCCTCCATGTCATCACACCCCGCACTGACGACCAACTCGCCACTCCCCGTTCGGGGACTGTCTTGTGATGTCTCTTGATGGTTTGTTTTATCAGAGCATAGCCAATCCACGTGCATTTCTTTCTGCACATTAATCGCACAATCGGTTCCTGCTGGGTTGGTTCGCTCTCAGAGATCATTTCTGGCGGTATATACACATATACTTCCTGAAGTAGGTCATATACTCTAAATGTGTTACGTCAAACAACTATCAGATGTCCATAGCCTGAATAAAAATCCATAACATCATCAATACCCCTGAAGATCATTCAGTATATGCACATAATATTACTAATTTTATTTTACTTGATTATACACCCCATGATTATGATTTTCAAAGAAAAATTTAATTTGAAATCACTTTATATACACTGTTGACCGTTTTGGTAATATGTGATTGTAATTGAAACCATTCTCTTATTCTGGAAGCATTCTTCAGTGAGTTTTAATGAATGACTAAATTGTATAAGTACTTTAGGTTAATTATTGGTAAAGTGTAGGATAGTCTAAGTTTCGTCATCAGCTGATCACCAGTGATCAGTGGTAGAGGTAACTTTCACACTTAAATCTGCATATTAAACATCAATATTTCATGTTTGCGTTTTAAACAGAACCTATACTTTCTTGTGAATAACCATGTTTTTTATACTTTTTTAGCAACCCCGACAGAGATATGTAATTTACCACTAAATATAGGACGCGGGCTTGAGAAAAAATCCCGATACTATTATAACAAAGCTACTAACCAGTGCAGTGCATTTGCTTACAAAGGATTGAGTGGAAATGCTAACAGATTTCGTACTAAGGATGAATGCGAACGCATGTGTGTAAAACCAAACTTATCGAGAGTTCCGTCCAATGGGGATAGAAGACCAACACTGCCAGTTAGATATCCAGCTGATAGACGACCAATACAAAATGACCGTGATTATGATAACAGGTATCCAACTAGAGCACCATCGAGAGAAAGAACACGTGAACCAACCACTAGAATAGTTTACATTACTAGATCAACTCCAAGATACGGCAGAAGATCATAAACAACTTTTTTTCGAGGATGGTTGATTTATTTATAACATGGTATATATCTGCAGTTACAAAATCCGAATAAAATTTTCATTACATTGCAGCATGTTGTCATTTGATCGCTTATAAAAGTTAATCCAGGATAATATTGAAGAAGAGTATGAGAAAAGGTTCGATGCGACTGATTTTTCTAAGGCAATCGATAAAACTGTGGATTTCACTTCATTCTTCTTAAGTGTTTTATTTCTAGCTACTTAGAAATGTTTTGCCATAAAGAATATTTGAGGTGGGAATAGAAGCTTTCAGAGTGGGAGATATTTATTGACATACCTCTTGGCCTATCCTTAACGAGTACCATTTAGCTACTACATTTGAACGGTATAATGAATGTTACACTCGGTGTACCCAACTTGACAGCAGACAGCGAACCTCTAAATTTCAAAAGATAAAATAAAACATACCGACATCTACATCGGAAATTTATGATTATAAAAGGATCTGTCGACTTATAGTTCGGAAGTATCGATTCAAAGACTACTAAGAGCATTTATACAGTAATTTAGTCTCACATTTTCTCCCAATTAAAAAGGCGCGATTTTAGGCCGTATTAATCGCTTGAGTCTTTAAATCTAAGTGGATGTGGCGTCATGATAGTTTACGCAAAGAACTTTATAGTGTCGATAAGTCTGAATCTTCGCGACATGGTATGTAAATGCCCGCAGTTAGAATCGCTGATGAGTTGGCTACTTGTAAATAGATCGTTAAACCGAACAATCAGATCTTCTTTGGTTTTAGATGCACAAAAAACATAATGGTGATTTCAGAGTGTATTTTCGTTGTGGCACCTAAGTTCAAACTGCAACTGTGATCAATGCGGACATCATACATGTACTTCTGAGCGAAAGGAATTATTATTTAGACTTTTCTTACAACAGTCGGGCGAAATACAGAGAAAAAAGCGACTTTTTCTTCACCCAGTAATTTGTCAGTGCTCGGGATTGTAATTCAAGTAAATCATTTGTACTATGTGAAGTTAGACAGTCATCAGAAAAGTTCTTCATGCCATCGTTTGACAAATCAAAATTTAGATTTCTTGCCGTAGAAACATATTGTTTTCGTTTCAGAAATATTCATTAGGGTCGAAAGCAAAACTCATTATTTCACTCTTTTCACACACATAGACTAATATAATCAGTGAATTTGATGAAATTCACACCATTTCCAATTGGTTGTTCAGTTGTAGCAAATTTCGACGTCTAGTTGAATACTGGAAACAACGATTTTGTTGCAGTGTGCATTCTGGTCACTGATCTAGGCAACACAACAATATGGAAAAATTTAACTTACTAATAAATTTAAATAATAACCATTCGAAGAAGAAAGTCGTGCCTAATTAATTCGCTTATTAATATATGTGTAAAACTTGGGCACTGTGGTAGTAAGTAATTCCATAATAGTTTGTTCATTAGAGGTATCACACAGTGAAACAGTATTATTTACTGGATGACGTTCCGAACAAAATTTATTATTGTTTACAATCATGTCATCAATTCGAATCACACGACTTCGGAACTTGAGTTTGATAGTTTTGCTAGAGGACTGTGTTATTAGATCATAATCCACATAGTCTGATATGTTGCAACTTTTCAACAATTCTCTTGGTCTCTTCTTTAAGGCAGTTCAATTCACTTAGGAATTGGTAAGTCAGGAAGGGGAACTTCCAATGTTAGACTATAGAGTAATAAGGATAGAAGATGGGAAGTTAAACACTAGTGTTTACAGGAAACCCACACACTCAAACAGATTTTTGGACTTCCGATCATCCCATCCTATGTTAGTGAAATGTTTAAATAATAGAGCAAAAAACCAAGTAGCACGAAGGAAAATCTAAGACAGGAAGTGAAACATACAAGAGAAGCTTTGAAACTTAATAATTACCCCGATAAATTAGTCGGAAAGTGTGTAGGGAAATAAAAAAATAAAAAAATGATGATGGCAGTGATAGTGATAATAATAATGATAATAACAATAATGATAATAATAATAATGACGACATGCATGTCAAACATGAGCAAGACAACACCAACAGTTAGGAATCTAAATCATCAGTGGTACTTCCATACAAAGAAGGAACTCAGAAACCCTACTCAGATTTCTCAACAAGCCAGGCAGTAATAAAAGTGGCTGGCATTCAAACCCACAAACTCAATTAGAAACAAGAATTATCGGTTAAAGCATCAATCCTGTGGAGCCAATGAAACAAAACAATTTACTTTATCTAGTACCCCGCAATCATTCCCAGGTCAAACTAGTAGAACGGGAGCAGTTCGACTAACCGAGCAAAGAAACCTTGCAAAATGTGGATTAGCTGACCCAAATAAGGTGAGAAATCTGGAAAATAGTTTAGCTATAACACATGCAATTGCACGCTACCATACAATAGGATGGATGGGATAAGATGACACTTTTAAAATCAACTGTAACAGGATGGTGAGTGGGGAAGATTGATAACAGAAGCCTTGTTTATCAAATCAACTGCAAAACATGTAATAGGAATGATTCAACATTTGTCCAGTTGGACATACGGAAAATTCTCCTACTCCAATGACGACAAATAGGAGAGAACAAAAAAGACTATAAAACTCAAGGTTTGAAGTAGTGTGTCTATAATTGAAGACATGATTATGAATAATAAATTTTGTTCGAAACTGTGTCATGCAGTTTATAATACTGTTTCAATGACTGTGTGATACATCTAATAAACAAACTAATATGGAATTATTCCGCTTATTTGTCATCACGAATAAAACCTATATAGCTAAGTCTCTGATTTCAGTAGACTATCCATTGAATAAAAATTAGAGGAGAAATGTTAGTTTCCCCAAGAGTAGACAGGCTTTTCTAATCAGTGACAATAGGAACCAAATGTAAAATTAAGTGTTCTAGCCTATTTAATTCTTTTAATATGTACGGATCAGAAACTTGGCGGGTCACAAAGAATATTTCCAACAGCCTGTTGCAGACCTTTATCAACAACTGTCTTCGCTGGCTGTATACTGAAGATCAGATGGCCAGAAAGAATCACCAACAAGAAGCTATGGGGACAAACAAAACAAGAACCAATCGCTCAACAAATATGCAAGAGAAAGTGGAGATGGATTGGACACTCGCTGAGGAGGCCGTTGGGTGACATCGCGCGTCAGGCCAACGCTCGAGTGGAACACGAAAGAGAAGCGGCGAGTGGGACGTCAGTGCAAGGTTGACATGGAGGAGATCGTGTGAAGAGGAGATGAAACAGTATGGACTAACTTGGATGCAGGTGAAAAGTACAGCAGAAGACAGAAACAAGTGGAGACGTGCAGTTGAAGCCCTATGTTCCACTAGGAACCCAAGGGAGCAATAATAATATAATAATAACTAGAGTTTTCTTAATAGTGGTCCAGTCTACTCATATCTCCTCGTTCCCATGCACAGTCTGACGCATAATCCAGTCCATCACAGTTAAGAACATCATAGGTGTTAATAGGCAGTTAGCCTTCTATTACTCCTGTATTCACTTCAAAGGTTTCTCTGAATTTTCCCTCGCGGATCACTTGGCAAGTGCCATTGTCATATGGCAGTTGAGCGAGAATGATTAAGATTTGTTGAAGTAGTTTCCAAATAAGTTCTTGGTCAACGCTGTCGAAGTCCTTCGCGAAGTTGATGAAGTTGAGGTTGAAGTTTGACTGCCAATCTATGCTCTGTTCGATGGCTATGCGTAGAGTTACAATTTGATCAGCACATTACTTGCCTTTTCTGAATCAAGCCTGCTCTTGTGAGTGACAGGGTTCTGTATCCATTGCATCTTTCATTCTCTCCAGGATGATGCGATTTAGTACTTTAGTTTTGCATGGACAAGGGCATTTTTCCACGCCAGTTCTCGCAGAGTGAGGCCTAGGTAATCCTTCTTTATTTCCTCCCAAACATTTTGCCGCAATAGCGCGAGCACATAAGCATCAGTCTCTGGGTCCGTTTTCAGGGCTTCGAAGAAAATTCATTCTGTCCCTCAGTCTTCCGGGCTGGACTTCAGTAGCTTGATCTCATTTAGTATTTCAATTTTCGTTGGAGGAGTGGTGTCCACTGGCAGTTCCGTGCATGCTGTTGGTAGCGTTTTCGGGCGAGGTGCAGGTGATGATCTACTCAAGAGTCCTTTAAAGTGATCAGCCCATTGTTTTATTTGTTTCACCTCCTTGGTAATCACGTTCCCTTGAACATGTATTATTGGTTTCATCATCTGAGTTGATCTCTTCCCGGATAGAGTCCTCTTTGTCTGATACAGTGTCCCTAGGTCTCTTTTATCTGATCCCACCAGTTCTGCTTCAGTTGCCAGCCAGTTTGTCATGGAATTGTATTTTGTCTTTCCTAGCACTCTTCTTCACATCTTTATTCAATTAGATGCAGTGTATACCGAACTCAGCTTATCCTTCTGTTGTGCATCTTTGCATTAAGTCATCTTCTCTTTCAGCATCCTCCTCCCCCAGATTAGATTCCAGATATCCATTAAGAGCCACTCCCTGTCGTATCTCTTCTTTCTTCCTAGAACGGTTTTACACGTTTCCTTGAACACCACCCTTCAGAGAGTCACTTCCAATGTTCTTCCGCGAAGGTTCCTCAGTGATGCCAAGTAGTATATCCGACTTCGCCCTAATATGATCCGCAGTGAAGCCATTCCTTGTAGTTTTGTCGTTCAATTTCTGAATGTTGAACTTGAATTTTGGTCTGTTTCCGGTTGTTTTGAGGGATTTCAGCTTCCCCTTGAAGGTTGCGTGACTTAGATGATGGTCTGAGCTCACATCTGCTTCCCTCCACGGCTTTGTGTCCACCAGCCTAGCTGCGTCTCCACTTCTCTCAGCATTACCGAGATGAAGACTGTCTGGTTTGTGGTATGTCCATCAGGCGAAGTCCATGATGCTATACTTGTGTATATACTTGTGCTTGTACATGCTCCCTCCGATCACCAAATCATTGAAAGCGCACAAGTCTTCGAATAATTATCCGTTCTCATTAATTTCTCCGAGCCATAGCCTCTTGACCCATGATG